GTTGGCGCTCAGAAACGCAAAAATGTTCTCAGGCTTTATATCTTTATCCTAGGATTTTTCTCGAATAGTTAACTGTTACCTTTAATATGTTTTTATGCCGTAGACAGCACACACTTTAGCCATCTTACGTAGGTCATCAAAGCTTTTTTTTACAAGTTCTTCTTTTCGTATGTCGTATCCTTCATAACCGAATCTTCTCATTCGAATTTGGACTCAAGCCCTATTCGAAAATTTTGATGAATGAGGAATGATTTCTTAAAAAACATTTTTCTTGCAAGTGTACATATTTGAAACTTGACGACAGTATGGCATTTGAACACGAAAACGCAAAGAAAATAAGCAAATACATCAATTTGAATAGTGTTACTTGTTCAAATCAATGGCAAGCCATCATGCTGGATTTGACATACATCTGATACGGATGATGAGCGGAAACGCCAATCGCGGAAAGAAGGCGAAGTACAAGATCGGCGACAATCGGGCGAGTCCTTGTAGCATATTCATTGTTGACTCGCTCGCGAAAGCTCATCGTAAATTAACCCGATGAAAAAGATCCCGATAGTGAAAGACTTGTAGGAGGAACTACTAGCAGAATGTCTCTGTACAAGCACACAAACGCAAACATCTTATATACGTACAATTGTACTGAGTACATATAATAATATTCGATGTTTTTGTGTGTATGAACGCGTTATTAATAGATATAAGTAATTATTTCATAGAACTTGAGCTTTTTGTTAGCGCTTGATGTTACGCTTAATGATCTCGTTCTCGGCTATAACAATGCTCACATTTTGTTAGATTTTAATGAACTTTAAGATTGATTTAATTTACTCGACCCTAGTTCAGTAGCATGGGTCACGCGCTAAATCAAATAGTTACGGTGCATCGCTCACATTCCGTTTACTTTGAAAAGTATTATAGCATTGAAGTTTTCGCAAAAAAATCTACGTTCTCCGAAACGAGTTCTAGGAAAAATTGACCCAAATAAGCTTTCTAAATGCTATTTAGACCAATTTCTACCCGATTACGAATTTTCTTACGTTCACATATTATTGCTAGACGCACCAACTGCTTTCTTCCGTGTTTTTGAATGTGTGTTTAAAATTATACTTTTTTTTGTTAAAAATCACTTGGGTCCAAGATATAGTATAGAGCAAAGTGATACAAATGCATATCCAAATGTAGATCCAAATGTATATATATATACAAAGCCTGTATCCATGACTGAATCTCTGGTCATTCTTAGCAACAAATGCTATTTGCAACCTCGCATTAAGAATGATGCAGGTCAATTTTCAGGCTTGAAATTACTTTACCAGCTTTTGCTGCAACCCCCATCTATAGGATCTTATTTTGTCCTAAAAAAACTTGCAATAAAATTGGCGATCATTTTTTCCGACGTAGAAACATTGTCGAGTGGGAAATAAAATTCGATTTTTACATCGCCATCAGCATGGAGCTGTCACCCGTCGGATGTACCGGGTCTAAACTGGCATATTATGCCTTTCTTTTAAACTCAGATCGAACAAATCTAGCGCTGTGCAACAGATGCGATGAGAAGAATTGACATACGGTCCATCGTTAACATATTTAAATCTGTTCATTCCATTAAACGAAGTAATATTTCTCTGCCATTAGAGGTATCGTGTGCTAACCTTCTGAGGAAGGTTGAAATGAGTCAGCTTAGTCAAAAGCTGGAGCGCACGAATGGTGTCAAAAAAGGTCCAGTGGACTTGTTTTGTTCCGGTAACTTGTGAATTTGCTAAACATCGATAACTTTAGTATAGTATGGTTCGATATTGTCATTTGATATACTTCAGAATCGAGATATATCTCGCGAACTTACTGAAAACCTTTTAGTTGATGCTTCAAGCATGAGACGGCTGAAGTCAGGGCTCGAGGGGACATGATTTTTCCTCAGAAAAAATAACCCTTTTCGATGTAAATCGTTCATCAGAGAATTTAACGAATGACATATACGTAAAGCGATTTCCTCTAAAGAATGACCCGTATGACTATTTTGTTCCCAAGCCCATAAAGTCCGTTGAAACAATAAGACAAAAACCGCAGGAGGAACCAAGGACTGTGCCCAAATGCATCTCAAAAGCTCAGTAACAACTTTATAAACTTGTTGCACCCACAGGCAATATTAGGCTACAAAAATCTAGAGCATTAAACCAATTTTATATTTTATTGAATAATTCCGATAATTCAGTCTGAGATTTGATAGTGAAGTTACGTTTTTAAGCATCGCCTCAAGCCACAGTAACTTAGTATTCCTAGATGCTACCTCACGCCTTTCAATGTTATTTGCAGGGAGAATATATCAGGCTTATAAGAACGATGAAAGGTATGCATCTTTTGCAGACCATAGCCCTGTAGCCATCAATGCATCAATGCTTACGTGTCCATAAATTTTATTATCGGTACTTGTATCCCATCCAGTATCGGTATGGATTTTAGAGGGTTTCCTAATTTCATCGAAGACGCATTGCATCGTGCTACTTCGTTTTGAATAACTGTTTACAGAACATCAAATGGAGTCTGTTATTAAAATAACGCTTTCGTTACAGAAGGCTTAGGGAATCTCGGACAGCATTAGCGCTATTGAAACTAATGATATCCATGCCATAAATGACAAATGATAGCTTCGTCGTCAATCTTCCGTACGATCTACCTAAAACATCACAAGGTCACCACTAATAACAAAATGAGCCTTCGAACATTTATATTTACCCACCAACTTTTTTTTTTGGCTATTACTGCAGGACAAAGAGAGCCTAAAGCTGTGCTCGTTAGTCTATTGTTTTGTTCGATCTATTGCTATCTAAATGCTAACTATTAGTTTGAAGGACTTTTGAAGGAATAACCAAGTCGTCTGGTCGTAAACCTCTTTGCCATAAACTCGGCAGCATTTACTTGCGTTAGGAGATAAGTTATAAATTAGTCATTTTGTTTGCGTACCCGATACTCTGATACTTGAATAAGAATCGGTAGTCCGCTTCTAATAGCCTGACGGAGATTCTGTTACGTACGCTATAAAAGCTGCGTATAAATTAGCTTAGTGTTATTTTGTTTGACGACTGCAGGATCCATGCAACGATCGGCATATCGTTACTCATAACAATTGTTACGCGTGGGGCCCTCGACAGAACTCCTCGATGGCGGTTCCACATGACTCAGTGATTATTTATGAATAGCAGCGTTTGTATCGAAGTGAAGACCCTGGGGCGGGGGACGGGGGTAAGAGCAATTGTTCTGTCAGTAGTTGCTGTGGACTATCCAGCTGGACCGTTTCATTGTTCTGACCAGTAATACATTTCACATTGGTAATTCATTGTCTATTAGAATTTTTTTATCAATTCCTTTTTGTCCTTAAAGCTAATTGACATGAGTGACTTACGAACTCGACTGATCAATCTTGATTAGTCTATTTCCACCCTAAATTAAGCGACAAACGATTAACTCTTTACACGTTACCCGAAACAGTTGGGAAAAAAAAACGAAGTTGGGAAAATAACAATGAAAATAATCGAGGCTGGGCATGATCGATTGTATTTACCTAAATACCCCATCAACGTCAGCACGCTTGTCACCATCATCAATATCAATAATACAACGATCTACTGTTTAGTGATCATAGCGAATTCTAAAGAAGACTAATCACAAGATCGGCATTCTGACTGAAACCGTCGAAGCAGAGTAAACGGTCGCGTTCTTCGGAACGGGTTTGTATATCTGTAAAGGGGACGGTAATATCTAGAAATCACAAAGCACTTAGCATCACGTAAGAAGCAGTAAAATGCCTTGTATCAGAATATATGACATCGATACTACTTCAGCTTCATGCGTAAAGATGAGATCGGAGTATTTATTAGTCGATGGTTCTTCAATGTAACTGTGCCAGTGTACGATGTATATCACAATTGTTTTATGCAGTCTCGTAACGGACCGCCTATACTATAGCGTATCAAGTTGACTTATGGGACAAAGTGACTGTTTCTTTGAGGGTTTCTTTCGTCACTGAGCAGGATTCGATTGTACATTTCAATTGCGTTGCCAATACGTAGGGAAATCCAAATCGATCATTTGAAATTGTTTAACAAGCAACGGTTACATCAGTCAAGCAGACATCTGGATTGTTCATTATTAGACCGAGCACTACCACTTATTCGGTAAGACAAACGTTTACATGCGAAAATAAAAAGTAGAACATATTGAAGTAACGTATATCGTTGTAGCACTCCTTAAACGGTAGCTGAGCAAGATTCCAATTGGTGGAGCTCGGAGTACTATAAAAACTTACGGCTATGGCCAATAGAGGAACAAGTTTTTTTTTGTCATATTAAAGCTTAGCTTCACACAGCTTCGATTTGCTGAAAAATAGAGTTAATTTGGATCATTTGCGCTAAACTTACATTTTCCCACGTTTTCCTCTCGACTGTTACCTTTTCCTACTTTAATAAAAAAAAAAAAACTAAAGTCTTTAGAAGGCGTTAAAGAACTATACGTAGCATTTCCGCAATGAAAGTTTCGGTACTTGAGCGGAACAGTTTGCTACCTTCTTCCTTCAGAACTTGGCTAAAAGCCACTGGACCTGGCATTGTTGCAAATAAACCCAAGTTACAGATGTACACATGGTCGTAGGCCTTGCATCGGAGAATAGCATGACTGCCGTATCGAAGACTATACATATGCGAGCTAAAAAACTTTCCTAATATGGGTGATATATAGCATGCTTGAAACCTCGTACTTGCTCCATATATTTAGATCAAATAACACTAAATGAAAAGTCGTAATTGCCAATCGATCACACAATGTATCATATAGTTTCGCAATCTATATGTTAGCTGCGCAATGCCTGTCTATAATGAAAAGTCTATTAGACATATCGAAATAGCACCTTTCAATATGTTAAAGTATCAGACCACATATGAATGCATATATAAAAATGAAAGCCAACCACTAAGAAATCATCTATGTTGTAAGGTGTTTGCTTACGTGAGATGGAAACGTGTCTGAAGTTGAGGAGATACAAATACTGGCTGATTTTTTATGCAAGCTTTTTTTTTTTCTATGAATCCGGATCCGGTATTACTGATAATACATTTATTTATTAACGACTAATTGATAGCATCAATCGGTTGTACTTCCGTACAGGTCAGCCAGAATCGTGAATTTAAATGTTATCCAGCAGCAGATTTCGATGGGATTGATCGTCCGAGTTTACTAGGCGCAGGCGTTGAGAACAGGAAGCTCCGCAATAACAGTCTCCTTTAGAGATACAATAGAATGATATTTAGATAAACGGTTATCAATCTCATTTCACTCTACACTTACAGAGTACCTTTTGATTTTCAATTTGATAGACGAATTTCACACCAAACCTCGTAGTATATGAATTAGAAAATTAAGAGGAACTTTTGATCGGGTAAACGAGTAGCAGCAGCAGCAGTAGTAACAATTTTATGGACTGAACCTTGTTCGTGAACCTAGTTTCATTTAAGTACGGCTTAGAACAAAAAGGTCAGACGAGAAACATTAGCTGTATTTATGATACGGAGAATCAAGATCAAAACATGGAAGCTAAAAATCATACTATATTCGTTTAATGGCAGGTAGAGCGATGGCTTCATCATTTATATCACGCCTTCGCACGCTTGAAGTCACTTTCTTAGAAGGCCCTGCATTCACGAAGTTCGATACCATTGGCATCATATGGAATAGGTATTTTAGTTTAATATGCTTTCCATTTTTGTGTTTTGTATACATTACAAAACTGTCCCTGCTAAATCCGCTTCATCATATCTTTGTGGGAGACTACTCATATTCTTTGATCTAGCCAACGTTGCACAGCATCCGATCCTTTTAAGGATTTTCATTTATTTCAGGAGTCAACTAAACACCGACTTTTAGACGAAATATAATAATAAATAGTGTGCAATTAGCACACCCATCTTTGCCCTGAGTTTTCGAAAAAACGCACTTTTCGATTTTTTTCAATTTTTTTCGATTTTCAAACGAATTTTTGAGAGGGTAACAACAAAAACGTTCTCTGCAAAGGATCATAGGAGCTATAATATAATTCTCATTTTCGCCAAGTAATTTTGAGAATTTTTGAAAACAAGTGACTCTGTAGATATTATATTAAAAAAAAAAAGTAGACTACAATATTCTGAGTAGTGTCTTAATTTCAAGGTGGTTACGTGCACGTGTAGAGGAAATTATTGTATGAAAGACTGAAACAAGCCTCAATTACGTAGTCCCCCATATTGTGTAGAATTTTTGACACAATCGAGTATCTTTGTATGATTCTAAATCAGCTATTTAGCTAAATAAGCTGTTGATACCACAATGGGTGGTCGGAATGGCTGCCGTTAATCATAGCATATTTTTATAGTATATCTATTTATAGTATCTAAAGATAATAGTAATTATCTTTAGAAGATACCCATCGGAGCCACCATTGCTATTTTCCGAATAATGTTTAAATAGCGAAAATAACTAATTTATAAAAGATTCTCTCTGGTATGATAAAAGTTCGATAATCGATACCTGCAAAAGCAGCAGGTATTCTAGCTAAAAAATCCGCTAACTTAAAAAAAAATATTGCCTCATTACCCACCACAAGTAAATCTTGTTCCAGTATCGTACTGACTCTGTTAGCGTTTATGGAATACTACTAAGCAGAAGGACGAAGTTTCAGCTTCTCGGAGATTTGATTTTCCGCCGTAACATGGTTGAAAAGGAAATTTAAGGATGAAAAATGAGCTGTGTCAATTGAAGCCCATATTAGGCTTTTTAACTACTATTTATGTTCAAGAAAGGGCAGCTTTCGGTAGATTAGGTCTCTGCTGATCATATATATATATATATATATATATATATATATATATATACACACTGCTAGCTTGCAGGTAATGCTATCCTATAGTTTCCATGCCGAGATTCTACCATCCTCTCAAAGTTTCGAACTACCATATGTACATGAGCGTTTTTTCCCAACTTTCAACTTTTCAACAACAACACCTTTTACTAATAAATACGATACAGTTTTCAGGCAATTTCTATTAATCTTATGTTAAATTATTGTATGATAATACTGATTACTTGCTATTAACAATAATCGATATGATAATTTGCCAGCGAAACCAGGGAGTCACAATATTGCACTATTATGTTCTATGAAATTAGGATGTAATGTTTAATAGAACACTAGAGGGCACGTTTTTGCATTACATTAGTGCACGATCCACAGCTTTAGTTGGCATATGAAGGTAGTAGTATTTAATTCCGCAGTGGTTGAGTTGACAGTGAGAGGGTGAACAGACCCATGAATCAGTCATCCAGGATCCTGCAATTTCGCGCAAAACACCGGAGTTCTTGCCCGATCTGCCATGTCGCATTATCCAACCACTAAGGGACAGCGCGTCCCAAAGCTACTATGCCTATCCATCATGAACTATTTCTCTTGTTCCTATTGTTGCAGCACTTTAATCGAATTGCCAGGCAGGAGGGCTAGTGCTGGCATACGACTATTTTCAATTCATAGGTAACTATAGGGACTCCAGCATAGCTCACCAGTAACGGCTTAAAAGACCTCTGGCGAAGATGGCCGCCGACTAGACATTTAGTTGAACGCAACGTAGATTGACTAACGACATTGTCCATGCGTTGCTTCGAAGGATTAGATATGCCCCCCCAATCCAACTACGTCTTCATCCGTACTCTGATACGGTATGTCAGAATTAAGCGCCTCTGGCGTCGCTTCCGATTTGGGATTCGTTTAGGAGGTTCGCTTTATGAAGATTAGAGTGTAAAAAGTGATGAGCAGACACATCACAGAGGACGCATTTGTACGCAGCTATACTGGCATCCGCTGGTTTGCATCAACAACTATCAACCCCGAAAGCTAACGTACAGCTAACAGAACTCTACGATACGGCGTACTAAAGTCACTTAATATAGCTATATAAGCAATTCTATATATAAACTTACCGGAATTCAACGTTTACTTCGTACACGGGCATATCTAGGCAAGATATGAATGTGCCTGGGCCAACATCTGTGGTCCTAATCTTGAATCGCCTCAGTGCTGCTCCTATTGAGAAAAAATAGACAAAATTGTTCGAAATTTGGAAACAAAGCCTAGACCAGGACCTCAATAGCTTATATACTGTACTCTTTTGTGGCTTTCAGGAAGTTTTACTTTGTATATAGAAAAGCATCGATACACGAAACGAATATATTTTTCAAGCAAACAATATTCAGAAGCAAGCAGAATCCTTAAAAAGGAAAGACACTGCAAGGGTTCCGGCTGACGGTGGACACTTCGAAATGCCGTTTTTTTTTTGTAGCAAAGAGACATTAAATGGCCGATAGGCTATGTTTAACAAATACATGACTGCCCTATGCGCAGTTGGTTACCGTTTCACAAATATGAAGGGTTTCACAGGGATGTCCGTTACACTTCATCACTACTTCAACTTTGCAGAGAAAGCGCAAGAGTTTAATTCCGTTAGAAACTTCCAAGTTTTTGAGTAGATGATCCGTTACTCTCGCTTTCAAATACATCCTTATTAAATTTGAATATTGTATGTTTGAACAAATAAGTTCCTTTCACTTGATTCTACAAGCACGTTGACATGGTCCGCAAAAAGAAATCAAAAACGGTCAGAAATGTGCGACCTCCATATTATCAAATTTATCCGCACGTTTTATAACCCGAATATATGCTGCTCTGTAAGCATATCTTACGGCCTACATGACATTGTCACAAGGTTAGTCGTTTAACTGACAATTGTTATTGAAGTAAGGTCGGAGCCGAGTAAGGTAAGTAAGTACCGAGTAAAGTTGTAAAGTTGTTCCGCTTGTTAGACAACAGTAATGGGTCATTAATCGTTCTAGTATTATAAAGAACGGTGGTCCCTCAAACAAAGGTTTCCCTTCACTGGCTTACAGTTAGAAGTCCAAATCTACGACCACATGCACTCGCAGAACAACGGCAAACGTTGCGTGCACACACGTGTTTTTACCACCGTAACAAGACAACAGATAGTGACAAAGGCAATTATAGATCTATAGTATAATAAAAACGTCCAGCTGTACTCAAAAAATGATTTTATCACACTGATCTTATTTCATTGAAGCGCCTTTAATGGGCAGTCATTATTCAGGGAATACGATTCAGAGAAATATTTTTTCCCGTGGTCAAAGAGTGAATATATTAAACGATGAAGGAAAAAGCAACTCAAATTTAAAACATGTAAAAATACGTGTGCATGTGCTTGATTTTTTTTGGCACACTTAGTGTGTTACGAAAACTTCCATTCTGCCATAGCCACGCATAATTCGGATACGATATTCGTAGTCAATTTGGTACCTCGACGATCCACGCTCATGTGCTCCATGCACTTCAGCTCTACTGCATTTACTAACCTGGAAACTACCAGAGGGCTCAGCTACAACTTCGAAGCTACTAGGGCGCCCAAACGGCGCCCAAACATATCGAAGCATATGAAACCTCGCCAAGATCATTCTAATTTTTCTTTAGTTCCTGTAGGTAGTTCCTAGTAGATATAATATGGATCCTGTCTTCAGCTAGAAGATCATTTTATTTAATAGTATTTTATATATAGCACACTAGCATTCTGCTAAACGTAACGACCAACCGGTGGTTCAAAGAATATGAATTTTTTACTGTAAAAGTTGTAATTACTCTATTTGAGAAGTGTTTGTTTCGTTTAAAGTCGACAGTTACCTGCACATTAGAAAAACTAAATGAGTGTATTCCAATTTAGGAGTATCTAAATGAAAAC